AACTCGATGGGTAGGTCGTCCAAACCTGAACATTTACCCTTAGCCATCGAGTTGGTTGCTTGCCTTATTTCCCTCTGTGTCATTGGGGCTTCTAGCTCTTCCTTTGCTGCTTGTGATTTTTTTTTTGTTACTGGATTCCAAAAGTCTAAAAATTCCGTCAAGTCCAAACTAGGGGGGTCATAAGGGCGCCTTGTGACAACTATGTCCTTATAATATTTCAGCGCATAGCCACACAAGTCCGCTGTGTCTGTGGCCGTCGGGGCTTCAAGAGCAAATGGGTGCGCCAGTTCTCCGACCAAAGGTTTAGAGTGTCTCAAAATTAAGGATCTAAAGGTCAATTTAGTCATCTTATCATAACCTACGATACCTCTAATTCTCAGGCGTTCTTGCCATTCGTTCTGCTTCTGCACTTCTAAACGTTCTAACTGAGTAAGAAGCTCTAGTCTCTTCTCCGTTCAATAGTGGTCCGTAAAAGGGTCTGTCCCCATTTTATCCTCCGCTTCTTTTATACCTTTTAATAGAGATTTTTCCTTCCATGTCCATGTGGATGCTTTCATCCTAGAGATCTTGAGGGCCGACTGCACAATTGCTAGGCCCGTTTCAACCCGTAGATCAAGGTTTTCAAAAAGGCCTTTCGCATTTTGCCAGTTTTGCATGTGAGCATTTACCCAGTTCACTACCCCTTCATCTTTCAAAATCCCAACATTTAATCTGAAAGGAGAACGGTGATGTTCCACCGTATCCTTTGCAATTACATCCAGAATGACCGGTTGGTGGTCTGACAGCGTACCAACCCTCACTTCGCTCCACATTGCTTTTTTCTATAAGGCCCCACGAATCAAGAAAAAGTCTAACCTTTTTCGCGGGGCAGGCGTATTGCCAGATGGTTTTGAACCAAACCAAGTAAAACCGTTTGTTTCTGGGTTAAATTTTTTGCATACGTCAGTCAATAGTTGGGCTTCACTGAGTTGAGCTAACAACAAATAATCAGTCCTCAGGGGTTTAGCCCTCAGGGAATCGAGGCCATGATTAAAGACTGAATTCCAGTTTCCCGTCAGTAACAGATTTTATGAGTCTGGAATTTGGGCGGGCAGCTCAGAAAAAAAAAATATTATGTCCTGGTAGTGAACTGGTGCATAAACTGAAATAACAGACAAATCTTTGTCTCTTATGGCAAATTTTATCAAGACAATTCTCCCTCTCGAGTCAACGTACCTATCTAATTCATTTATTTTCATATTCTTATCTATTAATATCGCTACATCACCCTTTGTCCCATTACCTGTGGCCCGTCCCACCAGCCCCGGATAAATTCTAACTTTGTTTCATCCAGTTTTGTTTCTTGCAGACAAATTATCTGAACATTCTGTTTATATATCCAAGTTTGGAGTCCGTTTTTTTTTTTTTTTTTTTCGGTTTTTCTCTCCCAATCCACGCATATTCCACGTCGCAAATCTAACCCTTGGTGGGAGGACCATTAAGTCGGTCCTTACCGCGGGAAGTTTGGATGTGGCTGCTTACCATAACTTTTTTTTTCACAGGCTCCTTCCCCATCTTTCCCTTAGGTCTCCTTTGGGAGTCCACCTCTTGTGCTCTCTCCTCCTGGTGAGAGGGGGTTGGGGAGTTGCTTTCAATGCAGCCAAAAAGGCTTCCGAGGTCAATGTGTCCACCAAATTGGCTTTACCCAGTCGGCAATAGCTTGGGTTGTTATCTCCCCTTGGACCTCAATGTTTTTCAGAGTATCAATACCGCTATCTAAAAAGTGGGGTTTATCGGATTGAATGGGCTTTAAGCCCAACAATCGACCCCTCATCTCCTCTAAGGACTGCAAAGGACATGTGGAGAACCATTTTTCCTCCTCCAAGGGCATTTACCAACAGCCTACCCCTCTTCGGTTCTGGGAGGATGGTACTCGAGCATGTGTCCGCCAGTACTTTCATGCGAATTTCCTTCATTAGTTTGGCGTCCGTTAAAAAGTCGTTTGAAGGTATAGCATGGAGGAACTAAGTTTCCTCCTCGTCCACCTTCGTTAGGACTTTCGGTCCAAATTTCATCCATCGTGCAAATGAGTGGGACATTGAGTTCCTTTAGTGTTACTTTCCTTTTGTCTTTTCTGGCAAGTGTTTGCATCGATTGTGCCATAGACAACTGCTTGGCTGCTTTGGCCGCTTGTTCATCTTTCGTCAGATTCCGTTTTTTTTTTCCCCGTAGTCTTTACCTTCATTACTGGGGAAAATACCGCAAACCTGTTATTTGAAGACTGCGGTGAATTCCCCCTGCCCTCTATCTGAACTCAGGATAACCTCCTGACAGTCTAAGAAGTATTATTCAAACGAGGAGAGATCGTTTTTGGCTTTGAGGGGGGGAAATCCTTCCAGGGTTCGTCCTCGAGTTTCCGAGTCGTAAATTTCGTTTCGGTATAAATTAAAAAATTTAGAGGAGGATGCCAAAGCCATTAGGCCTATCTTGGTTCCCTCTTCCTCTTCCTCCTCTTCCCTCTCGCTCTCACTCAGGGATAAGGACACCTCACTTTGAGAATCCTTCTCCTCCTCCTCCTCCGCTTCACTTTGTCCATTTTTCTCCATCTCACTCTCTTCTGTCTTCTGTTCATCTTGGTCCTCCTCCAACCGGTCTTCGCCTAACGAGTTTTTATCCGACTCTTCTTCCTCATCCCTTTCGATACGTCTTCCTCCATTTTATCGATGTTCCTATCTTCTCCGTCCTGGTTTCCATCCCCCTTCCGTGACCCTCCTCCCTCATTTTCACCCTGTTCCTCTGTCCGCCTTCCCTGTTCCTCATCCACCTGCATCTGATCCTGCGTTCGAGGCGGACCCATTCACTTCTCCTTCTCCGAAATATCATCATTCGGTACAATAACTCCCTTTTCTCCTTCTCCCTCCTTCTCTCCTGATCCCCTGGGGACTGGGTTCTCTTTCGAGGGTTCTTCTGACCCCTTCGTAGGGGATTTCTCTTCCTAACCCTTATTTCCTTTGTTGCCTTTGCCATTTGAGGGGACAGGGTCCGGAACAGGCTCTTTTTCCAAGCCCTTCCCCTTAACTTTATCCGCGTAGGAGGCCCCTTTTTTCTTTGGGCAGTCGGGATCTTCTTCTGAATGGAAATGTTGTCTGCAAGCAGGGCACGAGGGCGTGTTTGCACACACTACTTCGTTGTCCACGTACCCGTCTCTGCCCAAATCCAAAACCAGATATCTTTTGTACTTTAAACGTGCTGTCGAATCCAAATCAAACCGCACATTTACCAAATCGGGGGACAGTTTATCCTTATACGCTGTAAATTCCTTAACTACTTTCCCAAACGCATCTTCCACTGCACCTCGGAGAGGAACTAGGGCAGCGACTGGGACCTGTTGGCATCTGATCCAGAAGAATCTGTGCCTCGAGACTTCCCTCCACTCCCATAGTTCCTGCTCCGTCATCCAAGGCTCGAAGGAGATCGTATAGTCTTTGTTGTCCAGAGTCAATTTGGTCTACCGAATACGAAGCATATATGATGCAATTTCAGAGGCTGTGGCTACATATGTGACTAGGTTTCTCCCCTCGTTATGAAACAAACCTCTTTTTGGAGGGGCTGAAACTTCCCCACTTGTGGCCCAAGCATTCTCATACATGCGGATCAATCGTTTTTTGACATCAATCGATAAATATGTTGACTCATTGCCAAAAAGGATCGAAACAGCATGCTCTTTCAACCATTTTGCCCGAACGCGATACACTTCCGGGTTAACCGTGACTCTTACATAGTCATCTCCGACTTCTACCAGGTTTGGGGCGAGCTTCTTTGGAAGCACCCCATCTGAGTAACATTTCGAAACTATTTCCCTGATTCGAGTTTTCTCTTCCTCGGCCAACCCCGATGGAACCGAAACACCCGACGAGATTGTCATTTCAAAACGTTCCTTAGTTGAGGAACCACCAATACATAATCAACTGAGGGCAACTATAATCCTGAAGTTAGCTAGAATATAATTAGTAATAGAGGCTTCAATAAATTATCTGGGATGTGTAACCCCCTCCCCCCCCCCCAATGGTGTGAGAGTGTTACCTGTGCCCATAGGCTGTGGAGGGTGTTTCCGCAAGGTAGGTTGGCTGGCTCTCCCGTCCCCCCGCCGGGGATAATCCTGCAATCTCTATCTTCTTATCCTGTCGCTCCCAGCTGGTTTCCACCACTTTGTTCACCTTGTTCCTCCGTCACAACCGAGGTGACTAGGCCTGGTCTGACCCCCGATCTTCCACAGGTGGTACACACTGCCTATGCAGTGAGACCCAGTCCACTTCGGGCAGACCGGCCTCGGGACTAACGAGGACGGAGCTGCCTTGTTGGAACCGAAGCGATGTCGCGCGGCGTCTTCTTCGCAGAGCGCCCCAACCGTTCCCGGGCGGGAGATGCGAAAAATTAGCGCTGCGCTTAGCCTTGAGAAGTGTTTTTGTTTTCTGGTTTTCTACAGAGGGATGGCTGGGGCTGGGGAGTGCACCCGAGGCCAGGTGCCCTCCGCTATTTTCATGCTATTCTTTGCTATGTTGATGTAAGCCTTGGGCACTGGGCCCGTTTGAAATAAAATTCCAAGGTTAAAAAAAAAGAAAAAAAAAGAAAGGTCCCACTAGCAAAGAGGATAGGATTGAAGACCTGAATCTGGATGTGTTTTACACAGAGATGCAGAAAAGCAGTTCAATCTCGATTTCCTGCACATATCCATAAGCTCGTCCAGATTCAGGCATTCGATCTTTACTTCTTTACTAGTGGGACCACGCCCCTGGTTCTGCCGGCCCGCAGCCGCGCGGTCGCACACCAATCGCCCACCGACGGCGGCGGGGGTGTTGGCCTTGGCCTTGGCGAGTCAGTCAACAAAATGAGCAAAATGAGAATGATGATGTTTTTTCTCGCAGAACGTGGAAATGTACACCCGCCATATTTTTTTTTGTATCGTGCACATTTGCTGATCGGGCGGTGAGGTCTTCACCCTGCTGCCCTCGTGTTTCGTTGGTCGTTTCTGTCTCTTCACCGCCTCCATCACCCGGTCCTCCTTGCCTCTTTGGTTTGAACTTCTTCCAGGCTGTTGCCTGCGCCCTCGTTTCCCCCCATCTGGCGACGTCCTGTCATCCTACGGGTGAGTTCATCCTCCATATCTTCGTCCTCCTACCCCTTGTCTCTCCTCCTCCTCCTCCTCCTCCTCCTCTTGCTCGTCCGCCTCTGCTTCTGTACACTGTTGTACGATGTGACTCCTCCTCCTCCTCCTCCTCCTCCTCCTCCTCCTCGTGCTCGTCTGGCTGAGGTCATGTCATCTTACGGGCGAGTTCATCCTCCATATCTTCTTGTCCTCCTACCCCTTCTCTCTCTCCTCCTCCTCCTCCTCATCGTGCTCGTCCGCCTCTCTGCTTCTGTACACTGTGTTGTACGATGTGACTCCTCCTCCTGCTCGTGCTCGTCTGGCTGAGGTCCTGTCATCTTACGGGTGAGTTCATCCTCCATATCTTCTTGTCCTCCTACCCCTTCTCTCTCTCCTCCTCCTCCTCGTGCTCGTCCGCCTCTGCTTCTGTACACTGTGTTGTACGATGTGACGGTTCAGCTGTTTGGCTATGGTAGTCTGGCGAGGTCCTGTCCTGCGGGTGAGTTCATCCTCCATATCTTCTTGTCCTCTTCTACCTCTCATGTCCTCCTCGTTCTCGACCTCTTCCTCCTCTGCTTCTGCGCACGGTGGTGTACGCTATGACGGTTCAGGTCTTTGGCTATGGTAGGCGTGGGCGGGAAGGAGAGAGGGTGTTTTTTTTTTTTTTTTTTTTTTTTTTTTTTTTTTTTGGGGGGTGGGGGGGAGGGGGGGGGGTTTTTTTTTTTTTTTTTTTTTTTTTTTTTTTTCTTTCTGGGTAAATGGTGCTATTTGAAGTAGGGAGAAGGAACGGTTTCCAGGGGTCGAATTTCGACTGCCCTTCTCCCCTCCTCCGCTCCTGCCGGAGACTGAGCTAAGAAGAAGATAGAAGAAGAAGATGCTGTTCATTACTTCAACGGAGCAAGTGGGGGGAAAATGCTGGATCGGGATTGCGTGCTAAATATAGGTCGACTGATCTTTGCGCGTAATCGTGGCCCGATACACCTAGGCCGGGCCACAATTGCGGTCCGATGCATCCAAGAAAGCCGCACTGCGAGTATGATGCCCTCTGGCTCTGCGATTCTAGAACCTATTCTGATGTCTAACGTGCTTACTTCTTTTATATCAATAAATATATATATCAAGATATATACGATATATACGATATATATCAATATGTATATCAATATATATATATATCAATATATCAATATTGAATTAAGTCGTTTGGCGGATACTTTGCGGGTTGTATATGTATATATACGCGCAAGAGGTTCTGAACAGGGGGAGTTGTAAGGAAGAAGATTAAAAACGAATTCAGTTTTTTTTTGTTTTCCTTGTTTTCTTTCTGCTTTTCGCTTTGGCGCTCTGATATCATGTGACAATGTATTTGCCTTTTGGCTGTGTGCAAGTGGGTCGATATGACACACGGGGGTGGGGGCAGCCGCCGCTCAACCTACATCCACGTGGGCGGCCTTGTACGCAAGAGGTTCTGAACAGGGGGTGTCTTGTAAGAAAGAAAATTAAAAATGAATTAAAGTTTTTCTTGTTTCTGTTTTTCGCTTTGGCGCTCTGATATCATGTGTCTTGTAAGAAAGAAGATTAAAAATGAATTGAAGTTTTTCTTGTTTCTGTTTTTCGCTTTGGCGCTCTGATATCATGTGCGCCAAAGCGAAAAACAGAAACAAGAAAAACTTCAATTCATTTTTAATCTTCTTTCTTACAAGACACCCCCTGTTCAGAACCTCTTGCGTACAAGGCCGCCCACGTGGATGTAGGTTGAGCGGCAGCTGCCCCCACCCCCGTGTGTCATATTGACCCACTTGCACACGGCCGAAAGGCAAAGGGGCAAAGAAAAGGGGAAGGGAACAGCCAAATAATACAGAACAGGGGGCAACAAAACAGATCCCACATGCAAGCACCGCCCCAGTCCTACACAGGCCAAACGACGGGACAAGACCAACCAGGATGTCAAAACATTCTTGTCTGCAAAGAAATCAAAAGAAGTCCCAGATACATATCTATACACAGCAGATGGCCTTGTTATATATATAGTTATAAGGAAGAAGATAAAAAAATGAATTCAGTTTTTCCTGTTTTTTTTCTTTTTTCCTTTTTGTTCGCATTTGCGCTCTGATATTGTTTGTTTTTTTCGCTTTTGCGCTCTGATATCTATGTGACGATATATATAAAAGAACGGGTCAAAGATCGGAGGAAAAAAATATGTTCTCCGCTCCGTGGCGACTGATTAACAATCTCTTTCCAAATTTCAAAACTTGTTGATCGAACCTTCTGGTTGTGTCCTTGATGATTCCATGCTACCCTTCCTTCGGCATCTTCCTGACTGTTGGCAGACGGATTGTCTCTACCTTGCTGTCTCTCCGTCTTTTTTATCTTTCGTCTTTGTTTTTTTGTTTTGTTTTTTCTTCCCTCTTGTTCTTGGCGTGTTCTTTTTCTTTTTGTTCTATTATTTATTTTTTGTTCTTTCGTGCTTACCTTCCGCTTGTTTGATTCTTGTCGATGACAGGTGCACATCTCTCTTCCCTGTGTGTTGACATCCGCCTGTTTCTCTCCTCCTCTTCCTCTCCTCTCTTTCTCCTCTCTCTTCCTCCTCTTCCTCCTCTCTTCCTCCTCTCTTCCTCCTCTCTTCCTCCTCTCTTCCTCCTCTCTTCCTCTTCTTCCTTCTCTCTTCCTGCTCTCTTCCTCTTCTTCCTCCTCTCTTCCTCCTCTCTCTTTCTCCTGTCTCTCCCTCTCTCTTCCTCTTCGTTTCTGTCTTCCTTCTCTCTCTGTCCTCCTCTTCCTCCTCTCTCTTCTCGTCCTTCTCTTGGATCCGTACTGTTTCCTCAGCTTGCTTAATGCTTCAGCTCTTCATAGGTTCAGCTCTCTCTCTCTCTCCCCATCTACACCTCTCTCTCTCTCTTTCCCCATCTACCCCTCTCTCTCTCTACATCTACACCTCGCTCTCTCTCTCTCTCCCCATCTACACTTCTCTCTTTTCTTTCTCTGTCTTATCTTTCTGTTCCCCCCCCCCCCCCCCTTTTGCACATCCCTTCCTTCCTCCCCTATTACATGTTTCTTTCTCTTCCTTTTCTTTTCCTTTTTTTGTTTTTATTGTCTTTGTTTCCTCATGACTTGTATAACCTCCACCCTACCGTCTTCCCCCGAACATAACGCACTCCGATTTGAATGTATTAAACTATCCGTCCGGTCCAATACAGTCGTGATGAGGGTGCGTTGTGTTCGCGAGAAGGCGGTAGGTTTAGGTTGTTCCACCTGCTCTGTCTCGCCCTGTTGTCCCCAAGGGTCTCCTGCTCTCTGTGATTTTCTCTCTCTCCTTCTTCTTCTTCTTACACACCCTGGTTGGGTGCGCGTGTGTGACTGGGTACACCGGGTCGCGGGGAAAAACGAGTACCCGTGCTGGGGTGGGGTTAAGTACTCATCTTGGGGCTTAACTTTCACCCCAGTCCACTTAGCCGTTTGGTTGAGTGCTTACCTCTTAACGTGGAGGTCGCGTGTTCGATCCTTGGATCGGTGCGGACGGACAGATTGTTGTCTGGAGTGAGAATGCAATGCTTCTCTTCTTCTTTTTTTGATGTCTCCTTTTACGCATTTCTCTCCCAAATCCTCTCTTGCGTTTCGCTTCCCTCATCGCCTCCGCTTCTTTGCGATACGAATTCAAGACGATGAAATGCGACCAACGAACAACGGCAAAGGGGCGGACAGGGAAGGGACAAGACTCATCCAGAAGGAGCAGAGAGTCGAATGTTTAGGTGATAAAGGGCCTCGCTCCATTACCCACCACCAAATGTGCAAAAAAATGAAAAATTTCCGCTAGAACCTGGAAAGATACACCGCCTGACGGGGGCGTTCTATTCGGGGGCAAGGTCCCACTTGCGCAAATTAGGAGATTTCGGCCGTTGATCTTTTTTATATCTACGGTCGGTATCTCTTGATTCGTGCAAGTGGGACCTTGCCCCGGGTGAAGACGATAGCGTTAGGGTTACATCGAACGGAAGCTGGGTGATGCTACAAGTACCCCAGGGCTTGGTCACATCAGCAAAGAGGAATGGATTAAATTCTCCTGAATCTGGACGTGTTTCTGGAGAAATGCAGAGAGTTGCGAGTGGTCTGCTTTTCTGCATCTCTGGCCAAAACACACCAGATTCAAGAATTTACCCCCCCCCCCCCCCCCCCCCCCCCCCCCCCCCCCCCCCCCCCCCCCCCCCCCCCCCCCCCCCCCCCCCCCCCCACGAAATCCTCTTTGCTAATGGGACTACCCCCCCGGTCTTTATGTGGGGTGACTGGCCCCGAATCTGATGTGGAATTAATGTGTTGCTTTTTTTAAAAATAAAGAAAAAAATAAAAAAGAAGGGAAGAGCGGTTGATGTAGACCTAAGGGATTCACGAAAGCAGAGTTAGGGTGTACTCACACTAGAGACTCTTTCTGGATGTATCTGACCGTAATTAAGGGCCATCTTGAATGTATCTGACGTCTTGAGGGCATATGTTAAAGTCGTACCGTCTTCACCCGAACAGAACGCCCGGTCATTATAGCTGCATATGGCAGAACTTTCAGTCCAGATGCCAGCTATAATTACCGGGCGTTTTATTCGAGTGAAGACGGTAGTGTGAGACCGCCTTTTTTTAATTTATTTATTTAAATATCATGTGGTCCGATGGACCACGGATCAGATATTAAACTGACCAGAACAGATACACTGCACTTTATCTTACGTAGCCAAAAGTCCGAGGGAAAAAAAAAAAGAAAAAAAAAGGCCGAGGAAGAATATGCCCTTAGTTAGGGGAGCAGATTCACCTCAATAGCTACCGTCGCCCCCCCGAATAGAGCGTATGGTCAATATAGCTGTGCCCTTACTTAGGGGAGCAGATTCACCTCAATAACTACCGTCGAGGCCCCCCCCCCCCCCCCCGAATAGAGCGCACGGTTAATATAGCTGTGTTTGGGCCAAAGTTCAGTCTAGACATAGAGACAATGACGGTGCGTTGTATTCGGGGTACGACAGTAGGGTTTCCTCTGAGACTGGGTTCCCCTCACTCCGGTCCTCTTTCTTTTATATATTCAGCCTCCTGACGAGTAGGGAGGGTGAAACTCCGACGAAACAGTTTGTCACAGCCCCTCGTTTCTTGTCCTCTTCTCCCTCTTGTCCCTCTCTGCCACCTACGGTTTTTACTGGGCAGAGCTCTTTGTTTTTTTTTCCTAAAAGAAAATGGACCATTTCTCGATTTATGCGTGTCATCCTTGAAAGCGCAGGGGCCATACGAATCTTCATTCTCTGTATCGTTCCAATTTGAACGGATGTCCCGAAGGACGGCAGCTCCGGTTTTTTTTTTTTTTTTTTTTTTT